CGGACACCGGCACCAGGTTCCCGCCCGTCGTTTGCAAACGCAGCCCCGCAGGGCGCGCCCCGGCCGCTCCCCAGCTCTGGTAGCCGTGGGGATCCCCCATCCCATTCGCTTGCACCTTCCCTCCCAAAATTCATCGGCTTTCTCGGTCCTTCTCCCCACTCCACCCAACCCACTCAATTAAGGGCGGCGGCGGGAGCGGGGCTGCAAGAGGCGGCGGCTAAGGGCCCCCCCGCCCGCTTCCTTCCTTGCACAAGGCGAAAGAACACAGAAATAGGTGAAAACACAGAAATAGCCCCAAAAGAGACGCTTTCCGAGGTTTGGCTTTATTTATCCCTGCGTATCCTTGTGCCCTGCAGCCCCGGGCAGGCTGGATGAGCCGAGAACCAAGCGGGGCAGCCCCGGTGGTGGCTCGGCGGGCCGGGGGGTGCGAGGGGGTGATGGGGTCCCACTGCCCGCGGCGGGGGGCGCGGGGAGCCGCAGGTGCTGCTGGCGGGAGAGACCCGCAATGGCTGTTTGGGTGTTGCATTAAAGCACGCTGCAGTGCGCACACTGCGGCCCCTCCCCCCGCAATCTGCCTGTATGCTAATGACATGCAAAGAGACTCATTTGCATGTTTATCTCTGTCAATGGGCAAGCGTGGCGGGCGCGGTAATACGTTTCCCACCGTGGCGTGGAGGCCTCCCCCCGCCCCGCGCCCCTCACCACCCCGCCGGGCCGGGGAGGCTCGGCCAGGGCTCTTCTCCGGCCCCACCGCCCAGCCCTGGCACCAAGACAGGTACTGCCACAAAATGGCTGCCGGGGGGGCCCCGCAGCCTCCCGAGCGCCCACCTCTGCCCCCCAGCAGCCCCCGGCCCATCCGCGCCCCCTCCCCGCAAAGCCACCTCCGGATTTTGTGCTTAAACAGCCAATCGGGGGCGCGGTWCCCTTCCCCCCTCCATCCCTCCTTTCTCCCTCCATTCCTTCTTTCTTCCTCCATCCTTCCTTTCCCACTCCCCATTCCTCCTTCTTCCCCTCCATCCCTCCTTTTCCACCCTACATTCCTCCTTCTTCCTCACTCCATCCTTCCTTCTCTCGCCTCCACCCATCTCTTTATGCCACCTCCATCCCTCTTTTTACACCCATCATCTCTCCTTTTCCACCCTTCATCCCTCCTTTTCCACCCTCCATTTCTTTTCCACCCTTTATCCCTCCTTCTCCCCCTCCATCCCTCCATCTTTCCTTCTCCCTTTCCATCCCCCCATCCCCTCCTTCAACTCTCCTTATCCCTCTCCATTCCTTTTTCACCTCCATCCTTCCTTTCACCCCCATTCTGTCCCGCTTTTCCCAGCCCCAAAGACAAATCTTCACTGYTTCCACACGCGGGGATATTTCTGTTTTCCCACCGACCGAGGAAAAAGTCCTTTCCTTTCCGAGGGGTTCGTACTCCCGCCCTGGTGCTGAGCCCCCAGCAATTTGTCACCTCTCTGGGTTCGCCGGTACCGTGTGAAGTCCCCGGTGGGCACAGAACCGCGGGTGGGTTCCSCGGAGGGGATCAGGGGCATGAGAGGTGTCCACAGACACTAGTGGGGAAAAACAGCTGTGTGTACATTCATGCGTGCTGGCCCACGGAAGGAACGGCCATTGGAGGCACCGGTGTGGGTGTGGGTTTTTAAAATAACCACCAAAAATAAATCGCGGCCTCTCCCACGRCCCCGCGCTGTGCCCACGCCGCTATTTCCAAACACGCACGTGAGTGAGAAGGGCTCTGTTTTGGGGAGTGAGGAGGGGTCTGTGCCCACTCTCTGAGCGAGGATGCGGCCACCCCAGCTCACCCTCCACACCCTCCACGGCGCGACCTCCCCGCACCCCACGGGGCACTGGGACGGGGGGAAAGCCGGGGCCGGGGCCGATTCACGACAATGCGATTGCAATGCAATGCAGCGTTATACGCGCTCCGTTCCACGTTTAAGTAAAGAACACGTATATTTTTATGTTCCGCTATAATTTACGGCGCCGTATTACACTACACGATGCTGCGTGACGCGATGCGACGTGACGGTCCTCGGCCCCGTCGATGTCCCCGGGCCGCGGGGCCGCCCCGCCCCGAGGCGCCGGTGAAGGGCGCCCGCGTCGCTGCGCTGGACTCGAGGACGGGTTTCGGGGCATCCCCTCCTACCTCCCCTCCCGGTATCCCACCTCCTCCCTGTCCCTTCTCAGCCTCTTATTCCCTCCTTTCTTTTCTGGCTCTTCCAAATCTCGCTCACTTTCCCGGTGAAGGTGTGTTCGCTCCTTCCGTCCGTTATCTTTATTTTAGCGCCGGGAATTGGAGGGGCGTGTGTGTTTATCCCCTCCTCCTTCACCCGATATTGTCTTAGAAAAATATAAAATCAGTGGAAAACCTTACTCTGTCCACGCGCCCCGGACCCGCCCTGTCCCGGCCAGTTTATCCCAGCACCACCCCGCCGCAGGTACTGGGAGGGGGTTTATTTGTGGGGTCAGTCAGCACCTCCCTCGGTCACCCTAAGGCTTCCCCAGCTCTGTGTTATCTCTGCACACCTGTGCAGAGGGWGTATGACCCAGCTGGACGGTGCCGCTGACCCCCAGCTTGCCCCGAAGCCCCGTCCCCGAGGGCAGCGGGCCCGGGGGTGTCGGTGCTGGGAAGCCTTGGGGGTGCCGGCCCTCAAAGGCCCCCCAGCCCCTCGGTCCGCTCCCCGGGTGGGTGTTCCCCTCTCGAGGGGGGCGGAGAGAGGCAGGCCGGAGCAGAGGCAGGTTTGGGAAGGCCACCTCCCCTGGCTTTCCCACTGCCCCCGCCAGGCAGTGTCCCTACCGCACCCCGGCCGGAGCGGGGAGGGGGGGTCCGCACGCCCGGGGGAAGGTCGGCTCGGGGCTCCTCACAGCGTGCCCGAGGCAGGGCTGGTTTTGCGGGAATATGTGGGAACCCCTGCAGGGAGAGACACTCTCCCATCACTCCCCGAAACMTGCCGTGTCATCACGCCCCGAAGCAGAGGCAGCCCCCCGATAGCAAATGTGGCGTGTGTTCCCTTACCTGAGCGCCGGCCCCGGGGAGCCACGCAGAGCRGGGGGTTCTGTATCCGGCTCGTTTTCTCCTGCCGTGTCCCGCAGCAGAAACTTCCTCCGGCCGGGGCCGGGGTCGGTGCGGGGGAGCCGGGCTGGGCCGGGGGGACCCCGCGGCCGGGGAGAGCCGCACACCCCGGGCCGTGTTTATATGTAGAAAGAAGGGTAATTTGAGTGCTTATACCAAGAACCGGGGTTGTTAAGTTTGCAGGCAGACAGCTAAACGGTGCCAAGTGCGGGCAGGGAGGGGGGTGCGGGGGGGAGGCTGGGGGTGTGTAAGAAATAAAGAGCAATTGTCAGAAGCGAACAAAAGGCGGAGGATGGAAAGGAGCTGGGAATCCCAGGGCAGAGCCCCTCGGCGTGGACTTGAACTTGGGCTTTGACACCGTCTGCCAGGCGGAGAGCGGCTCCGGGCCGGGCGAGGAGGGCTGCGGGGGGAGTGACAACAGCCCCGGCAACGCACAGAGGGGGCATCACCCCCTCCAAACAGCCACCTTTGACGGGGGAGGGGAGCACTCTGCTTCGGGATGCGAGTGATCCGGGGAATAACCCAGACGGGCTGAGACCCGACGGGCTCAGCGCACCTCCCGGTGCAGAGCGGGGCGGCGGCGGGGGGACCCCGTCGGGGCTGGCCGGGGCCAGACGGTCGGGGGGGCCGCCCGGTTCTCACAGTCTGCGCCCGAGCCTGGATTCTCTGCACGTCCCGGCCGGTCCCCYCTTTGCTACTATTCAGCACTTAATTGAACATTAATGGCAGCTGGGGATGAGGTCATTGGAGCCGGCTTTTCTCACACATTTTTCATGCAAATCCGCTAAACTCTAAACAAATTTGAATAAAACCCCCTTTGTGCAGGCCCTCCATGGTGTTTTTCCACGGGCCGCTCCGCCTGTCTCCGCACACTCCATCCGGGGAGGGGGGAGCGGCGGGGAGATGAGGGGGTGCGGGGGGGTCCCTGCTCGGGCCTGGAGCGCCAGGCAGACCCAAAGAGGCTGTGTCCTCTGCGAGGCTCTCAAACCCAGATTGCCCCCCGGGACACGCACTGCACTGCCCGGGCCCTGCTCTGTGCCATCATCTCCACTGGCAGCCCCCCTGCAGCACCAGTTCCCCCAGTAATATCCACTAACAACACCAGTTCCCCCTGTAACACCTCCACAGCACCAGCGTGCCCCCAGTACTATCAGTCGTCGTCCAACTCACACTAATCCCCCACAGCAATACCGGCCCCCAAAGTGCCATCAGCCCCGCAGCAACCCAAATTCCTCCCCGTACCACCAGAGCCCCCAGCACCCATTGCTGCACTTGGCAATCGCTGCCTCTCTGTAAGGTGTTTTTTTGGGTGCTCAGGGCTGCACAGAAGAGCACGCAGAGCCCCCGGCCCCCCCGTTCCGCAGCCCCCGCGCAGCCCCCATTAGCATCCCTGCGCGCCCGGCCCCCTGCCCAGCCTTGAACTTGGCCATGCCGGGCTGCGCTCCTTCTGCCTGCCTGGGCTCGCACAATGCCGGCCTTGACCCATTGTTTGCTTTTTTCGGATTTCAGCTGGGAAAGCGGCCACCTCGCGCAGCCTGCCCCGAGCTCGCCGGGAGCGGGGCACAATGGGGAACCCTGCTCTGCAGGCAGAAGGGCTCCAAATCATTTGAGAGACATATTCATTATATTCTTTCACGGGGGTCTGTTTGCATTGGGTTTAGCGGTTACTTCCCAGACGGGGTTCAGACCAAATAAAGATCATTGAGCGGCGAGGGATTCGCTCGGGCTTTCAGGGAAATGTGCCTGATGCGGGGCAGGGCGCAGCCCGGCTGCCTGGCTCTCGGCTGCTCCCGCTTCCCCGATGATTTGCTCGGGTTTATTTTGTGCCCATTGCCTCCTCCGTCTCGAGATTGCACCAAATCACACGCTGGCTTTTGCAAAAGGGAGAGTTTATTTTCAACAGTGCATGGGGGGGGGGGGGGGGGGGTGGATTTGAATGGGAGAGTTACAGGCAGTACATTTCTCTTACAGGAACAGAGAGGGTGCAGTACAACAGCAGCAGGGCTGGACAGGCTGATGGTCCTCTGGGCCCCAAGCACAGCACCTTCGAGAAGGCTGCATCCCACAGCTCCACAGACCCAGGGACCAAGAGCAGCAAGAGCCGAGCTCTGCTCCATGAGCAAAGCCRGGGGCTAAAAGCTCCCTCCAAACTTCACACACCCGGTATTTCACCAGGTGAAACAGTGACCGGCTCAGGTCTCTCTAAGCACTTTGGTCCTGCTCTGGGGTACTGAGGACACCGAAGGCAATGTACAGGAGTGATGTGGGATGGTCCCTTGGCTCCCTGTGTTGCCCTGGYTCCCTCCCCATGGCTGCACCGCTGTGTTTCGAAGTGATGCAGAAACTCGGTGTGTTCGTGAATCAAAGCTGCCTCCTCTCTGGGCCSATGGAGAAGCAGGTTGGGACCCTCCTGGAGAAACTCGTAGAAGTCAGAAGGCAAATCCAGCAGGCGGTAGTCAACTGCAAGAAGGAACTCCCAGGGCTTCCAAAGTCCCTTGTCCACTCACTGGGATCTAGGAAGGAAAGAAAAGAAAAATGGAGTGGTTATGATCTCTGTCAGAGAAATGATCCAGTAGCACTTGGCTGAGAACAGACCAACTCATCTCACTGATGGAGCAGAACTCCAATCCTCTTTCCCTCCTCACCACACGTTTCTCCCAGCTCTGGACCACCTTACCCTCTTCCTTACCGGGAAAACTGTGGCCCCAAAGATGCCATGCTTCCCCTGCACCCTCCTCAATCCCTACCTCTGCCTGCCCCGCACACCGCCAGCCAGGGGAGGGCTCACCGCTTGTCCTTCCTCCCTAGGCTTTGGGGCATGGGATTACTCTGCATGTCAGAGCCACTAAAGGCACAGCCTTCTGATGTTTTAATCTTCGTGTTAACTTTCCCTGCCCTCGGCGCCCTTGCCTGGCTGGAGAAAGTGATACCAAGCCACCGAGCAGGAGCCAAAGCTGTGACACTCAGCAAAAGTCCCCTCCTCGGCTTTCCTCCTGCCTCCCGTGCTTTGCCCCACACATCTTGCACCTTGCAGCATATTCTCCTCCCATTTTGCTGCTTTTTTTCCACTATTTCCCTTTACACTTTATGCATGTTAAGAATGTGTATTCCCTGGCTCCCAAACCAGTCCCATCCTTTTCCTATCCTCCCTTTGCTTTGCCTGTAAACTGTTACTTTGGAAGGAGTAAAGACTAATATAACAAATCCTTGAGTACACTTGCAAAAGGAACCATCAGCTGGCTAATTTATTCTTTTTATTGCACCAAATTGTAATTTTATAAAATATTGCAAATTTTATAAAATATTTGCAAGCCCATTTTAAGAGATAAATCTTCTGTGTGGCTCTCTAATGAGCCGCCCTGGGAGTAGCCAGCATGWGATCTGCTGTAGGTCGCACCGCGACGTTCCCAGGCTGTGACTGGATGAACCACCGTAACTCTTTGAACTGTGCAAATACTCTACACTCTGGGGTCCAGGCTGCAATTTTCATGGGTATTTTTTCTCTCTCTTAAAAATAGATCTTCTGTAACCCCTTTATTGCAATATTCATAAAGCACTTGATGGAAATCCAAGGAAAATCCCTTCCCTTCCGCAACTTTGAAGCAAGCCTAAAACTGAAGAGAGGCAGAGGCCAAACCCACCCCAAGTGCGTGAGTTTGGGGAAGGACCAYGGCCTGTGTCTGTCTCTGGGTGCCAAAAAGACAGACCCTATCCTGGCGTGTGTGCAGGGAGACCCAGGCTACAAAAAGCCAAGGCTCAGCACTCCTTTACCCTGTGTGAGATCAGGAATCATCCCGAATGTTCCCCCAAGGCTGGCAAGGATGTTGAGGTCAGGGCAGATGAGATCTGAACGGTGGTGGGTGCTTTCCCAAACCCAGAAGGGGAGGAGGAGGAGGCTGAACTCTTGTGGTCACCAGGGACAAGCTTTTACCTGGCAGGTAAAGCCCTTATCCTGGGCAGGGACAGCCCCTGTTCTGGGCAGGTAAAGCCCCTGTCCTGAGCAGGTAAAGCCTCTGTCCTGGGCAGGTAAAGCCCCTGTCCTGGGCAGGTAAAGCCCCTGTCCTGGGCAGATAAAGCCCCTGTCCTGGGCAGGTAAAGCCCCTGTCCTGGGCAGGTAAAGCCTCCTGTTCTGGTCAGGGACAGGCCCCTGTCCTGAGCAGGTAAAACCCCTGTTCTGAGCAGGTAAAGCCCCCTGTTCTGAGCAGGTAAAGCCCCCTGTCCTGAGCAGGTAAAGCCCTTATCCTGGGCAGGTAAAGCCCCTGTCCTGGATAGGAACAGCCCCACAGTTGAGCCTGCTGGGGCCGACAGAGAAACTCCTCTGCAGTGTGGATGGAGAAGATGCTCGCCKGTACCAGACATCAACCCAGCCTGGAATCACCCACTGCCCGCCTGGTGGGCTTCACCCTCTGGCACTCAGTAACTGAGGGCAGGAAGGGCTGCASCAACCCAACTGACTCTACACAAGCTTCAGGAAAACCCAAATCTCCTGCATGCACTTTCTCAGGTTTTGCAGGAAGAGTTCAGCCTTGCACTGAGGGTGCCTGCAAAAACAGGGCTCCACCAGGACCAATCCCAGCCCTGCACAGGGAAAACATCCTTCTGTCTGTGGATTT